AACCCTAAACCCTAAACCCTAGTTGAGACAGTCTTTTATCACCTTGCTTCCAACACCAGGCGGCTCAGAGAACACGTCAGATCCCATCAAAGACATCTGCTGCTACTCATGCTGCTGCTGCTGCTGCTGCTGCTGCTGCTGCTGCTGCAGGCTACAGTGGTGGGGTTGCTGCAGAGCAGCGGTAGGAGTGTGTTATTAAGGGAGTTTTTGTTGATGATTGGTGACGAAGAAACTTGTGCTCGTCTCTTCCTTAATTCTGCACAATATAGAGATGCACTAGGTAAACCCTAAACCCTAAACCCTAAACCCTAAACCCTAATTTGGTTAGGATTGATGGATGCGCACGAGACAGGAGATGCGTCAGCTATTTTTTTAGAGATTTTTACGAAATATCTAGGGTTTAGGGTTTAGGGTTTAGGGTTTAGGGTTTGTGTGGGTGTACAGATGCTATATTATCTATACAAAACCCTGATGTACGCAGCAATCTATTTGCTGCTTATTCCCCGCTGCTGCTGCTGCACTATCCGCAGCAATTTGCTGCTGCAGCAAGAAAGAGCGAGTTTGCTGCGCTGCAGCCGTGGCTGCTGCTGCCTGCATTAACCTTACCAATCATTATGCTGCAGCGGGAGCAGCAGCAACAAGGTAGCAACAGCAGCAGCAACAGCAGCAGCAGTAGCAGCAGCAGCAGCAGCAGCAACAGCAGCAGGGCTTACGCTTGCTGGAAGTCCGCGGTGCAACTCGTTAAACATTTTGCCTTGGCTAATGGAAATAAACCCGGTACGAATTAGGGTTTAGGGTTTAGGGTTTAGGGTTTGGGACCGAGGGTTTATGTCTTGGGGTGTTTGTATAGATATTAGGGTTTACATTTAAGGGTTTAGGGTTTAGTTAGGGTTTAGGGTTTGGGTGTGGGGTTTGGCTACTGATTAGGGATTTCTTTTTCCTTTGGTAGAGGAGGCGCACTGCATGCAAATGGTATAGCGGGCATCAGCAGCAGCAGCAGCAGCAGCAGCAGCGGCTGCAGCTGGGCATCACCAGCAGGGTTGGGTACAGCGCTGCTGCTGCTGCTTGCTGAGGCCCCTTACGACTCTGAGTCCGAGCTGGCTTCTGCAATTGCTGTGCGTAAACCCTAAACCCTAAACCCTAAACCCTAAACCCTTCTTCTCAGACTTTCCCCCTTCATCTACCTATCCAACGCAGGGGTTTTACCAGGACATCTCTTCTTGTCCACTGTGAGGGCATTAAACCCTCGAACCCAAGGGTTTAGGGTTTAGGGTTTGTACGCAGGATAGCGAGGGAGCCTTTGATGCTCTGTTATGTTTGCGTCATTGCCAAGAGAAGAAAAGAAGAAGAGCAGTTATCCTGCTGTATGTACACCTCAAGAGATACCAGGCAAGGGTTTAGGGTTTAGGGTTTAGGGTTTAGGGTTCAAGATTCGTTAGGCGGCTTGTGTGGGGTGGATAGGGTTTATCTATCCTTTGCTGAATGAAAGCAAGGGTTTAAGACCTATGTCCTAGGGTTTAGGGTTTAGGGTTTAGGGTTTAGGGTTTAGGGTTTGTGTAATCAGGAGGCTGTACATATGGCACTAGAGGCAGGAGATGTATCGCTAGCTGAGGAAGCAGCTAGCTGTTGTGGTGATGAATTACTTAAGAGAAATTTATGGCTGGATATATGCCGATATATTGTAAACCCTAAACCCTAAACCCTAAACCCTAAACCCTAAAAGTTTTAGAGGTCTAGATTGGTGCTTGATATGTATTTTTCTGTCGATATATTGTAAACCCTAAACCCTATGCTGTAGAGATGGAGAAGGAACAGACACTGTTGCACAACCAAGTATAGTGAGTAGGGTTTAGGGTTTAGGGTTTAGGCTTTTGTTGTACAGGCAAAGAGCGAGGACGGAGCATCTCTTCTTACCTTAGTTGAGCGATCCAAGCACTGCATCAAGATACAAGTAAGAGCTAGGGTTTATGGTTTAGGGTTTAGGGTTTAGGGTTTGGGTTATTCAGTGTTGTATGGGTTATGTAAGTGAGGCACCCTGATGGCTTTAGGGTTTAGGGTTTAGGGTTTAGGGTTTGTGTATTTGTTTAGGATTTGCTTCCGTTGCTGCCTGATGCTGCTCTGCTGCGGGATGTAGCACCAGCACTAAGAGCAGCAGCAGCAGCAGCGCAGCGCAGCAGCAACAGCAGCAGGAACGAGCTGCAGCAGCACCTTACTGCTATTCGCGATCTTAAGGATCAGCTGCAGGCTGTTAACCGCAAGTAAGGGCTTGAAATTAGGGTTTAGGGTTTAGTGTTTAGGGTTTAGGGTTTTTTGTTAGATATGAGGGTCTATAATAGCTTATTCTGTCGGTATTTTTCTGAACTTTTTTTAGGGTTTACATTAGGGTTTACATTAGGGTTTATCCTAGGGTTTATATGCATGCATGTGCATGCAGGTGTATAATTATAGACCCTAATTATTTATGTGATATATGCGGGGCTGCCGTCATCTGTAATAAATTTTATGCCTTTAGATGCGGCCATTGCATGCATGCATCTTGTCTACAGGCATTACAGTTACCAGCTATGAGTAAACCCTAAACCCTAAACCCTAAACCCTAAACCCTTGGTGACAGTTTATCATATGATAATAATCCTACAATATATATCTGCAGGGGGATTAAACACTAATTTATTATGCCCAAGGAAAGTGTCAGGGATTATACGCATGGCAGCTAGGGTTTAGGGTTTAGGGTTTAGGGTTTAGGGTTTGTTTATAGGCCCAGATGAATTGGCAAGATTTGATCGCAGCGTTGAGGCCCTCGCTACGGCCGTAAAGGAGAATTCCCCTGATATAGAAACCCTAGAAGAGTAAGCATAAACCCTAAACCCTAATATATACAAATGAATTCCCTAAACCCTAGCCATAAAGGAGCCATATAATAAACCCTAATAAGCATTAAACCCTAACACATTCTGTACCTCCATACATTTCCCTAATGAGTGGCTAATAAAAAATTGCTGAATCTGTTCAATTCTAGGGTTTAGGGTTTAGGGTTTAGGGTTTAGGGTTTAGGGTTTGTATATATGTATACAGAGCTGTAGACTCATTCCTATCCCGCGAATGTGCAATTTGCGGAAGTTTAATGATTCGTTCTATTCAACTCCCTCTTATAAACCCTAATGATACTGAACAGATTGCTGCTTGGTCCCTAAACCCTAAACCCTAAACCCTAAACCCTAAACCCTACAACCCTAATGAGGATGAATAACCATCCTAGGGGAAACCCTAGATAAATAATGCAGCCTAACAAGACTTAATCAACAAACCCTATTAAACCCTAATTAAACCCTAATATATACCTCATTAATAAACCCTAATCATAAACCCTAATCATAAACCCCAAGAAACAAACCCTAATAAACCCTAACCCTCGCGCAGACCTGCAAGGGTTTCTTTTCCTCTATCTTTTTCCTTTTTCCTTCCTCCCTGACGGCCTTCCGCTATCTAGCTAGCTAGATAAATAAATAGCTAAATAGCTAGCTAGCTAGCTAGCTAGCCAAAAAGGAGACAGACAGGCAGTAGTAACTAAGAAGAAGAAGAAGTGTCTCCTTTTTATTCCTTGCATGCAGTATACTATATACGCCTACCTCCAGCTAGCTACAGTTAGCTAGCTAGCTACAGTCAGCTAGCTAGCTACCTAGCTAGCTACAGCTAGCTAGCTAGCTAGCCACCTAGATAGCTAGATAAGGAGACAGTAGGTATAGACAGGCATAATTAATAAAAAGTAAATAATAAATTGTTTGTCTTTGCTACTACATTGTACAAGATATAACTAGTCTATATCTTGTTGGTAGCCATAGCTAGCTAGCTAGCTAGCTAGCTAGCTGGTTAGCTAGCTGTATAGCTAGCTGTCTAGATATCTAGATACAAAGGAGACAGACAGCTAGCTAGCCAGCCATTAAGCCAGCTATCCAGCTAGCTAGCTAGCTATACAGCTAGCTAGCTAGCTATCCAGCTAGCTAGCTAGCTACCTACCTACCTACCCATCCAGCAAGCTTACCAGCAAGTAATTGATTTATATATATAGCTAGCTAGCTAGCTAGCTAGCTAGCTGGGTAGCTAGCTATATATATAATATATATAATTATATCTTTATATCTTTATATATTTATATATTTATATTTATATATTTATATATATTGCCTGTATAAATAAATAAATAAATAATAATAATAATATATACATAATAATTACTCAACATGTATAAGTTGTACATCTTGTTCTTGCTGCTGTATAGCTGCAGCAGCAGCAGGAGGAGCAACAGCAACAATAGATTGTGCATTAGCAGGAGCAGCAGCAGCAGCAGCAATAGCATTAGATAATTTATTAGCAAATAAATATAAATGTATTTTTTTTGTATATAATATTTGTTTCCTGTATAATTTACGGTGTATAGGCAGCTCCTTATTTATTATTTGTATAAAACTTTTTATCCCTTTTGTCTCTAATGAAGAAGGATAATCTATTAAGGATATAACAGGAAGAATAGAGGATAATAATTCTTTTTCTTCTTCTTCTTCTTCTTTCTTTCTTCTTTCCTCCTCCTCCTCCTCTTCTTTTTCTTTTTCTCCTCTTTTCTCTGTCTCTTTTTCTGTCTCTTTTTCTTTATCCTTTATTCCTCTTATATTAATATTATTATTAATAATATTATTATTATTTATATTATTATTAATTATATTATTATTTATATTATTATTTATATTATTATTATTATTTATTTGTTTATTTATTTGTATATTTTGTGCCCATTGTGCAGATTGCCTAAACACTAATAAAGTGTTTAGGGTTTTAGGGTCTCTATAAGAAAAAAAAGATAATAAACCCTCATTAGTATATCTTACCCAGGCACCATAAGCACCACCTAATTCCCTTATATTTTTTATTATATATAAATTATTTAATCTATATACACTAACTATATCATACCCTAATACTAAACCCTTTATTGGGGTTAGGGGTAGGGTTAATGCTATATCGCTAACCTGTATACATATATATACACATATATATATTTATTTATTTATTTATTTATTTATTTTATTTATTTATTTATTTATTTATTTATTTATTTATTAATTATATAGGCATAAATAGATATATATAATAATATATATAAAATATACATATTATACTTATAAAGGATAAACCCTAAACCCTAAACCCTAAACCCTAAACCCTAAACCCTATACGTACCTGAGCAGGTCTAACAAATACAGTATTCCTTGGTTGCTGCTGCAGGAGTTGCTGCTGCTGCGCTTCTTGTGCCCATTTAGGGTGTCTATCCACCCTCTGCAGCAGCCGTGTCTCCAAGGTGTCTCCTTTTTCTTCTTTTTCTTCTTCTTTTTCTTCTTCTTTTTCTTCTCCTTCTTCTCCTGTCTCCTCTATTGATGGATAAGAGGGGACAGAGGAAGAAAAGGAAGAGGAAGAGGAAGAGGAGGAGGGGAGGTAGGAGACAGGAGAAGAAGGAAGAGGAGGAAGAGGAGAACCCTCAGGTATAGATTGTATAAAATGTAATAAAGGAGACAAACCCTTACCTAATAATACATCATTAAGTGTCTCCTTATCTCCTGTTATATTTATAATTATATTCTCTCTTCTTAATAATAATAAACGTATTGCTTTTAGTCTCTCCTCTACTACACTCCAATCAGACTCCGCCTATATAAAATATATACACAAACCCTAAACCCTAAACCCTAAACCCTAAACCCTAAACCCTAAAAATCGAAAAAATCCAAAAAAAAACCTTAATAAACTCTAAACACAATAATAAACCCTAATAAACCCTAATAAACCCTTGAGGGTTGTGTGTTATTTAGGTTAACAAATGCTATAAATATATATAGTTAGTGTTAAGGGTTTATGATATATATTATAGAAATTAGGGTTTTTCGAATTTTTAGGGTTTAGGGTTTAGGGTTTAGGGTTTAGGGTTTATGATACCTGTTTAAGTAATTCTCTATAGAATTGAAGACTTGGATAACCATCAGTAATAGTCTCCATATAAGCAGCAAGAGAGAAAGGAGATCGTGAGTGTCTCCTTGCAGCAGCAAAAGGTAAATCTTTATATGCATCTAATCTATCACTAATTAATTCCTTTATTATCTTAAACCCTAATTTAGGGTTTGATAGATCTGCATCTACTAACATTGCATGCATTAAGCACCATAATTTATATCCTTGGCTTCTTGTTGCCTATAAAAAAAAGGAGACAATTATATAAATAAATATATAAATATATAAATAAATAAATAAATAAATAAATAAATATATTATTATTATTATTATTTTTTTTTTTTTTTATATAAAAAAAGGAGACAATTAAGAGACACATAATATATAAATATTATTATATAAACAATAAAAGGAGACAATAAAAGGAGACAATAAAAGGAGACAATAAAAGGAGACAAAAAAGGAGAGAATAAATAAAAAAAAAGAAAGTTAATTACCTTAGCAGAGAAGAAGAGGAAGCCCCTACCCTCATAAGGAAAAGGGGCAATAAAAGGAGACAAAAAAAAAGACAAAAAAGGAGACAAAAAAAAGAGACAAAAAAGGAGACAAAAAAAAAGACAAAAAAGGAGGCAATAAAGGGAGACAATAAAAGGAGACAAAAAAGGAGAGAATAAATAAAAAAAAAAGGAGAGAGTGAATTACCTTAGCAGAGAAGAAGAGGAAGCCCCTACCCTCATAAGGATGAGGGACAGTATAGGGTTTAGGGGAGAAGAGACGAAAGGAAGGAGACAAGGAGACACCTCCTGTTGTCTTAGTAATAAAAGGAATAAAAGAAGAAGGAGGCAATAATAATTTATTTATTCCTCCCTCTAATATATAACGACATAATAAAGGTATATAATATATATCTTTTATAGATAAATTATACAAAGAAAGCCCCAATTGTATATATACTATATTATTTGTAGGTAATGCATGCGTTATTAAGGGAACACTTCTTAATATAGATGTTAATGTATAAGGTATCTCCTCTCCTTCCTGTATACATATATACATATATATATATATATACATATATACGTATGTACATTATATACATATTATATACATATATACATTATACATTATATATATATATATATATAT